CCCCCCCCCCAGCTCATATAACCTGTAGTAGCTTTGAATATTGGCGATCAGCCACCTGTAAGATCCTATGTTGTAGCTGAATCTCAGGGGCATCAGGGGCATCAGGGCTGCATAGGGTGGGCATCATTCCCAAAGTCAGGCCTGCAACATGACAGTGCTGTCATGACCTCTCTGGAAAGCTCTCTGCCTTGCTTGGGAAGGCCTGGAGTAAAGAAGAGGTAAGGCTGAGGGAGTGTTGGTGGTAGGGCTCAATCTTCTGGTGCTGGGACCAGAAAGGGGGTGAGGATGGCTGTCTCAGCACCTGTGATGGTGCCCAGCCGTGATGACATTCTCTCTACTCCCCTTGTCTCCTCAGCTACAGCAAAAGGCAGTGGCTAGTGAGATCTTCAAGGGCAAAAAGGACAATTACCCCCAGAGTGTCCCTAGGCTTTTCATCAGCACGCGGCTTGGTGAGCCCCTGATTCCCTAGCACTTAAACATTCCTTGTGGTGCTTCTCCCTCCTACGTCCTCTGACTTCCCTCCCCTCATCTGTGTTGCAGGTGCAGATGAGATCAGCTCCAAAGTGCTGCAGACCCTGGGCTCTGAGCCCATCCAGGTGAGACCTGCCTGCAGCCCTCACTCCAGCAGAGTTCTGCTGCCCAGGGATGGGGGTCAGGCAGAGGCTGAAGAGGTCACCCCTGGAGCCCCTTCAGCCTGTGTTCTGTCCCCAGTATGCTGTGCCTGTAGTGAAATATGACCGAAAGGGCTATAAGCCTCGCTCTCGGCAGCTGCTGCTCACGCCCAGTGCTGTGGTCATTGTGGAGGACGCCAAAGTCAAGCAGAGGATTGACTATGCCAACCTGACTGGTCAGCCAGTGTCCCAGGGCACAGGGGGAGCAAAGTGTACCTCTGCCATGATCCTTGATCTCTGACCTCTGCCTTTGCCCCTCAGGAATCTCCGTCAGCAGCCTGAGTGACAGCCTGTTTGTGCTCCATGTGCAGCGTGAGGACAATAAGCAGAAGGTACCTCTTGGGGACTGGGAGATGGTTCGGGGTCCTCCAGCTCTGGGCAGGGCCTGACCCCTCCTACTTCCGTCTGGGCTGCCCAGGGAGATGTGGTACTGCAGAGTGACCACGTGATTGAGACACTGACCAAGACAGCTCTCAGTGCTGACTGTGTGAACAAAATCAACATCAACCAGGGCAGGTGAGGCAGGCGGGGGCCAGTGGGCCATGTGGGTGGACAGGGCAGGTGCTGTCTTTGGGGGTCTGTCTCTCTGAGGAAGCACTCATTTCCCTCTAGCATCACGTTTGCTGGGGGACCCGGCAGGGATGGCATCATCGACTTCACACCTGGTTCGGAGCTGCTCATCACCAAGGCCAAGAACGGGCACCTGGCTGTGGTGAGTGGGGCCTGCCTGATAGTCCTAAGGCCAGGGCGGAGCCTCCCACAGCCAAGCCTTCCTTGGCAGTGCTTGGCAGAGCCTAGGCACCTCATCCTTGGGTCTTGATCCAAAGGGTACCATACCAGTCCCTTCATCCCATTGCCCACCTATGAGGGCCAGAGAGAGGGGCTATTTGAGCCCCATGGTGCAGAAGGTCATAAAGATGGCAGCATGTGGCCAGGTGCAGTGCCTCATACCTGTAATCCTAGCACTCTGGGAGGGTGAAGTGGAGGATCCCTTGAGCTCAGAAATCCAAGAACAGTCTGAGCAAAAGCAAGACCCTGTCTCTACTAAAAA